AGTAAGGTATTGTATACTTAGTACTATGCAAATTAACAAATTTACGCGTTGCTTTTTAATTCACATCTTAGCGCACTAGTGAATTCGTTTCCCATTTATTTTTACATGATGTCGATTAGTTAAAGAAACAAATTATTATAATATAATAGTAACTAACAAATAAAGGATCGTTACCGGGAATTTTTACGAAAAGATGAAACTAAATTAATGATTTCCGGTAATTACATATTATAGTTTGATAAGAAAATACAATATGCCTTTTTTGTCGTACCGTCGTCGCCACATCCCGTAAACTCACCGCTCGTCTTTGTATCGTTTCTTGATATTAGCTTCAGGGATGCTTAAAATAGAAGTAATCGATCGAAGCGTCTAAATAGATAAAGCTCGTAGTGTAGCCTGCGATTATGCCGTGGTTCAATCTTCGGACACGCGCCAATTTATTTAATAATTTAACACGGATTTTATTCGCTTGTATTTATGTTTTTTCTATATAACCGAATCTTTGTACTTCATTTTCAAAAAACATAGTATCATCAGTACGTAGATCATCTTTTTATTTTTATTTATTATGCAAAGTCATTTGAGCCCAAATACAACGCAATATCTATGCCACCACCTACCTTGAGACATTGGGGCAGTCATAACTGTAGATTGGAGTAGTCATGGCCTAAAGGATAAGACGTCCGGTGCATTCTTATCTAGCGATGCAACGGGGTTCGAGTTCCGCAGACGGGTACCAATTTTTTAATGAACGTTCACGATCGACTTCCACGGTGAAGGAATAACATCGTATAATAAAAATCAAACACGCATAATTATAATTTGCTTAACTACTGGTGGTAGGATATCTTATGAGTCCGTACAGGTACGTACCATTACCCTGCCTATTTCTGCCGTGAAGCAGTAACGCTTTTCGGGTTCAAGCGTGGAGCAGCTGTTGTACTATAAAAACTGAGACCTTAGAACTCATATCTCAAGATAGGTGGGTGACATTTACGTTATAGATATCTATGGGCTCCGGTAACCACTTAACATCAGGTGAGCCGAGAGCTCATCCACCCATCTAAGCAATAAATAAATAAAATATGTAGTTGATCCCCATGAAAAATGAGATCGAAAATTGACTTTTCTAGTCATTAAACCTAATGTATTAAACATAATATACGCACGACTTAAGATATAAATAATTATTTATTTGGTATCAATTGACCTTTGTGATTTTATAACGAGAATTGAAGTTTAGACAGCGATAGATGAGCGACGACAGAACATCGGTCTTTGCTTCTTATTTTTATGTCATTAAAGATCATAAAAATAATGATTTGATGCTCGGGCGGTCGTCGCTTTTACAATGTGCGTCATTAATCACGCTTTAATTAAATGTTTAACGGTATCGATCAACCCGAAGTACATACATCTTTTGAACTTTGACTGGAAGTGGTCAGGGGCCGAAAAAATAAAACCCTAAAACTCACGCAATATTGTTACGGCGCGTGCGTCATTTTTTGACGTAACGTGACATAACCAATTGCTTTTACAGTTCCTTTTAAAATATTAATAAACAATATTATCTATATTATAATATGAAGCTCATGGGTGATGGTGGTCACGACCCTCAGACATGAGGAACACGACTCGAGGAGGAGAAGGAGGAGGATCTATATATTAATACGTGCAGCAAAAACTTTGTATCCCTTTTTACGAAAATTGCGCGGACGGAAGAGTATGAAATTTTCCACACTTATAGAGAATATAGAGAAGAAGTGCACAATGCTAATATTTTTTTAAAATAATGCATAAAAGATACATTAAATCAATAAAGAAAATATTACACACACTACATACCATGTATTTGTCGCACACACGCATGCATACTATTTATTGTCAAACTTTTGTTCTTGACGTCTGTTGTCAAATTGAGAATATATTAAATATTGTTTGTCTTTGTTAATATTTTTTATAGTGTAGTCTTGGCGAAATTTGTGATTATAAAAGTATAAAATACAATCATAATAGGGTACAAACTTACAATTCCAATTAATTATAGTCGAATTTCGACTACTGTGGGACCTCTAGTATAAAATTAATTGACGATGGGCACCATAATCGTTGGACAGGTGGGCGAACAAATGCTCAGCCAGGAGGGGTGGGATTTGCTAACAGCTGCCCGAGCGCCTCCGAAGTAGACATAACAACTCAAGAGCGACTGCTTCGCGAATGAATCTACTGCCGGATCGGAATCGCGGCCCGCTGAGAAGATCCGGCGAGAAACTCAGCGAGCTGATGCGTGGGTTAGGTTGCACGTCGACCTCTTAGTCGAGTTCGAGAGTACGGGGTCCCTAAGCCTCCCCCTAGGGTTAGAGCTGAAGGCGTCTAATGCAAAGGTTATTGTATGTGATGGATGCGTAAGAACGTGTCTAGGACGTCGATGGTGACTGGCTCCAGTATGATCAGGTTTCGGGGAGTAGGCCATAACCGTGCGGGCCAGGCATATGCCGTTCAGATCTTTTTTATTTGTAACTGAAAGTACAAATAATGTCTGAACACTAATGTAAAGGGCAGCATATCGCAAGAGCCGCCATTTTAGAAGCAAATCTATTATATAGATACCAGGTGTACTAAAGTGCAGCGACTATATCGAGTAAGGAAACAGGTACGTAATACGTATTCACTAATGTCATCCACGATAAAGGCATTAATGTCGTTAAATACAATTAGTTTTAGTGAAATACAAAATTAGCGTATCTACTAATGGTATTGTGAGCCCACACGAGTTTCTAAGGTGCTTTTAATATCTTTTTTGGATGTAACGTAATCTTTGAACGACATTTTTATCGACTTCAAGGACCTTCAACTTGGACCAATGATAAAAAAATAATTTTATTTCTTACAATAATTTGATTCTAATATGCTGACCAGTATCAACAGTATCGCCAACTACAATACTTTTTAATACAAAACAATCGTGACTTCAACTTGTCTTAAAGTAGGTTGTATACAGGCACCGGTAATACGTTGACTACAGCAATGAAAAAAGATGATATATTTTTTTTTGAAATTTCCGACAAAATTTCGTACTTATCAGAATAAATTGAAACGAGAGGACGAATAACTGGGAAGATAAAATAATAATAAACAAACACTGCGTGAACAAAAACTGAACAAACGTAAAATAAAAGTCCTCCTATCAAACCTTATCTCAGAAGCACAATGGCAATACGGAGCTGATAACGTTTTCAACGCATTAAAATGTATAGTATGTACCGAGGGATTGTTATCGTTGGGAACAATGCTCAATATTTTTCTGCATATAAGTGCATAGGTAACACAGTAAAACGTGCTTGTCATAGACATCGCCTTTTTAAAGTTTTCAGAAAGAAAAATATCTGTTGACTTTCCCTATTGAACCATTTATGGTGTAGTATACAAAGTACAGTTGTTAGCAACGTGACACAGTATTGAATTAGTTGATTAATCGTATCTAAAAATTCAAATTAAATTTAGCATTACGGGTACGTGGATATCTTGCGTTGATTTTGATCAATACAAACATCACAATGATGTCATTCAATTTTAAAATATCTGTATTTAAAAAAAATTAAAATTACGCACTGCCCATGCATGGCAGACCGTGAGTCATCGAATTGACGTATTTTATTTATATACAATACATGTGTTTGAACAGTTGTAAAATGATTAAAGGCTATTTAATTTCCTTTATATTCTCTAAAATTTTGTTACTAGAACTAGAAAAATCTTAACGTCATATTCAATTTACTGTACTTGATTACTTATTGGCACTCTTTCTATTTAAGTATATTCATTTAATATGTAATCTTCATTAATATTTAAAAAACTCACTCTTGACAGTAATGTTATAAAGTTAAGCAGATGTTAAGAATATAATCTTTCTGCGTGCGCACAGTGTACAGCACGGCTTTATCACATTTGGCAACCCTGACGTTTTGAATTAATTTTATTCGAACTAAATGACTGCAAATAAACCTCTAAATTGAATAAGCTAATATATATATTCACTTCAGCAAACCAAGGTCAAGGAAAATATCATAAATTAAACTACATTTCGACAGTTTGTGTGGTTATTGAGGTGATGTTTTCTATTCGGAAAAGTGTAATTCGAAATACTTTATTGATCTAACCTTGATTCTATACAATAATTTATACAGATGATCACGATAAGATATTATGCAAACCATTAAATCAGCACATTAAATTTTTTCTAATGAAACGCGAAAATCATAGATAATTCTAATTTGAAACTAAATTTTATTTTATTTTTTCTTTGTTAAAATGACACAATATAGAAATTACTCAAATGTTGGCCAGATTTTATAAAAAAGACGAAACTGCCATTGTCTATACTAAAATATTATACCAAACTAGCTGACCCGGCAGACTTCGTAGTGCCTCAATCGATAAATAAAAGACTAAAAATAACTAAAATAACTAAAAAAATAACTAAAAATAAACTTTTGTATAAAATAAACTTAAAACAAACAAAAGAAATCAGTTCAACGGGGGACACATCAAAGGAAAAAGAAAATTGTTATTTTTATTTAATTCCGTGCATTTTCATATTTATATACCTTTTAAACCTTCTCTGGACTTCCACAAATAATTCAAGACCAAAATTAGCCAAATCGGTCCAGCCGTTCTCGAGTTTTAGACTAACGAACAGCAATTCATTTTTATATTATACCAAATAAAAAATAATTATAATATAAAACTCATACATCGGATAATCTTATTCTAGGATCTTTAAAAGACGGGACGTATACCTACCTTTTAGACTAAAACATAAAACTTGAGTTTAAATTTAGCTTTTTTTAATCGTGATCTGTTGTTTTGTGATTAATATAATAATAATAAGTATTTTTTGCTCATTGGTCAACGTCATACGTCATAGTATAAAAACAAATACCGGCATAACAAAATTATTAGTATTTAAAATATACAGGATTTATATAGGTAAAACTCACCGTTTTAGATACAATGTGGTTTTCTTCCAAACGGAGAACATGCGTCTCCCATCTCCTCAAGAATTTGGCAGCGAGGATCTTGTCAACCACCGTCCGCGTGTGTTGGAAACAGCACACTCTTAGAGCGCCTTCTGTGGCCAGCTTGTATCTTGGACCCGGAGGTGGTACTGGTGCTCCAGCAGCTGAACTTTCTTGGCCGGCATTGTCCGCGCAGCATTCTGGACTTGAACCCTNTTCCAAACGAAGAACATGCGTCTCCCATCTCCTCAAGAATTTGGCAGCGAGGATCTTGTCAACCACCGTCCGCGTGTGTTGGAAACAGCACACTCTTAGAGCGCCTTCTGTGGCCAGCTTGTATCTTGGACCCGGAGGTGGTACTGGTGCTCCAGCAGCTGAACTTTCTTGGCCGGCATTGTCCGCGCAGCATTCTGGACTTGAACCCTATTGACACACACATTTCATATTACTTATGTAAAACGTACAAATTCTTAATGAACTTAACTAAAAATACCCGATGATTCTGCAATATTACTTTGAATGTTCAAATTTCTAAAATAAAGAGCAGATACGGTATTCGATTTAGGAAGTTTCCTTTAAAAACATGCTGAAGTTATATAATATTGTAACTAGCACAGCGTGCATCATTTCTTTGAATGACGTCTAAGTTCTGTAGAATGGAATAGGATATTTATGATAATTGACTTCTCAAAGTTGTTTTGAATACATTCAGATATTGGCATACAACATTGTGACACAATTTATTCATACTTACATTTTATTTTATAACTATTATTACCATATTGACGTACTTGGCCATTTGTATTTATTTTTTATCCTATCTATTATTAATATTATTATAGACAATAAAATGCTAAATATAACCTGTTTTGTTGTTTATTATGTTAACATTGTTATCTTTATGACTTAATTTCTCAGGATTTTAAATATTAATGTTCAGCTAATTAGCCTCGATAAAAACCAATTGATTTTTTTTATATTAAGTAAGTACTTCACTCATTTTTATATCAAAAGTAGGCAGATTACTGTTTGAAATATATTTTCCTGTCTGTATTCCTCATATCAAACAGCACAACGTTGAATAATGCGTGATAACAGAAACTAACTCTAAACAACGCTTGTTTAGAGCGCTTATCAAAATGTAGTTTTTATAAGTAAGTATTCAATACTTCGGAAACAAGATAATACTATAATGGCTCGATGCAAATACATTCTCCAACGCACAAAATAAAACAAATAAAATGTACATAACGATGTTTGACGTCAGTCACGACCTTGTAATTATAGTTAGGCGTTCAAATAAAACTTATTATAAAAGATAACAATTCCTAAATGGTTCACTCTACAGTTTAAAAATTCCTGTGAATTAAATAAAGTGAATATATAGCTAACGGCCCAAAAGCGTTGGAAGAAAGAGTCACTTGAAATAAACTGGTTTATGTTCTTATAATCTGGTAAATACGGATATATTTTTTTTCCTACCTAAACTGGTAACCTTAGAGGGCTATGCCAATGTAATCGAGCAAGTAGCTGAATTCACGGGGCTCTAACCTGCGGATGTTGCTAACACTAGCCCTAACAAGAGCAGTGCTGCGCAAAATCTACCACCGGATCGGAAACGCGACCTACTGAGAAGATCCGGCGAGAAACTCAGTGGGTTATAAATTTGAAGATGAAAGTTAACGACGTTTTCTTTATCGCAAACAGCGTCGTACCCAAAGCGCATAATGAGTTATTTCGATCTTAGAATCGAATCAAGTGACAAAACTAAATAATTTCGGGTGTTGTTGCCGATGCCACAACCCTAAACATAGAATAAGAACAAATGATATGAAATGACCAGTGTGCTTAGTGCGATTTTTTTAACGTTCTCGATAGCGTAAAAGTTAGCTCAAAATTGTATGCAGTTGGAACAGTGCCCCTAGCGGCAAACGTAGGTAAACGTTCCAACTCCATACAAAGTTGAGTTAACTTTTACGCTATCGAGAGCGTTAAAAAACTCGCACTAAGCACACAGGTCTCGACACACCTTAGTCGTCCGTGACCATCATCAGAAACAATATAATATTACTAATAATAAAACCGCAAGATTAAACCGTAATAATAGTTTTAATTAAATTATGTACCACATACGGTTCTCCCCAGGTTCATGAGGTGAAGGATATTGACAGTGTTAATGACTTAAAGGGAAAGTCTCGACTCATGATCTACTACGTCTTTAAGTACGTCATTCAAAACTTCGGTAATTCCGTGGTTTCAACGACTTCAAAAGAATGAATAATTTTTTAACAATTTACAAATTCTTATTGCAGTTTAATAGCTTAACTAATATAGTTTATAGCCCACATATTTTTAACATACATTTATTTTATTTAAACGTTAAAAATAAACCAGAATACAATTCATTACAATAGAATAATATGCAAGTATAAGATTTCGCTTGATTCAGAATTCACATCGTCTTTCTGTTTACATTAACCGGGAAATTGGTCCAGTTATTGTCTAAAACACATGATTTTTTTAAATATCCGAAATCTTTGCTGCAAAAGATCTATTCTTCTTCGCGGTTCAAAGTCACACGAACGGAGATTTATTTTTATTGGAATTTAGATTATTTGCTACACAAATGACCATAGTGGACCGTTACTTAAGTGCCTCTTATCACCCCAGTCAACCCACTAACTTTCTTGCCGGATCTTCTTAATGGGTCGCAATTCGATCCGGTGGTAAATTCTGCCAGGTTGGGCGCCTGAGTTCACCTATCCATCCGCGCCTAGCTCGAATAGCCCCTTAGGCTACTTGCAAATAGGTAAAGGAAAAAAAATGAAGGTACTTGATCTTGTTAGACTGTTAATTATTCTGCGATGGTTGAATAAAAGCTGAAATGAATGAAAATTTATCTGTTTGGGCGACCTGTATTAGTAACAAATTTTAGGAAGTGTTATCTTATCTGTTGCAGTAATCTAGATGCAGAGTGGGCCGGTTACGCGCGGCATGACCCACATAGTGGTCGGTTTTCAGTGACGTCATTGCGAACATTTGGGTCATGAGGGCGCGCTCTGAGGTACGACGCTTCCTCCATCGAACACTCGACCGACGACCCGAATGCAACTACCTAAGCACCATTTTGTTTTTATGGAATAGTCTATTTGTTAGATTTTTTTTTCTAAGGTTAATTCAACTATAATAGGATGGACAGAAGAACAGGAGGCTCCATTTTTGTGGTGTTTACCCCAAATAATCAATTTTGCGTTTTTATATGTCTTTGTTGATCGAAAATTGCGCAAAACTGCGGTAATGATTTTGAATGAGAGAGATAGAAGATGAGCTTCCATGTGACGTCCATTCATATTATTCATTCCAAATTTAACATGGGAACCGCCGGATACATTTATCTATGTACTTTGTAAAACACAAACTATGTAGTTGAGTGACGGACAACGAACAGTCGGTGTAGAAGCATGAAGTTTTTCATAAGATCTGATATAAATCATCGGAGATTATTACACCTCAAAATACATTGGACGATATTAAAAACATGCAGGTTTAATTATTTAGATCATTCTTAATTCGCAATCGGTCTGTGTACTTAAAATGAACTACTGTTTTCTTGCAATCAATGAAACTAATACTTTTTAGCGTTTCTCCTGTTATAGAGAATATCATAGAGAATATATTGGTTTGTCATTTAACCTTTGCGCCTGTTGTATGAGAATTAATATACAAACAATAAAAATAAAAATTGATAACATTGTTTGTAGAATTTTAAATATAATTTATTTAATTTTACATTTTGTTCAATTCACCTATTTGTTATTTTAATTCGTTTAATGATGACGATCGTTGCGTACTAAAATAAATAAGGATGTTCTGACTATTTACGTAATTCATATTATATTCTTCATAAATATAAAAATTTACAAAATAAATTATGCATTTTAAATGACCGGTTTCAGATTTTCAAAGAGAAAAACTGAAAATTTACATTAAAAAACAGCCGAGTGGCAAGCTTATATAGTTTTATTCATATCTCTAAGCGTGTTTACAAGAGTACAAATAAAATCAAAGTTGAAGTGAGAAGGCACGTTGAGAATGTAATTTAAAAACAGCATTAATTAACAAATTAAATGATGCGACGACTTTAAGCAGCTGATAACCGGCTACATATTGACGCATGTTCTTCATGATCTGGACGCGTGTATCCAAATTAGGGTGGCCAATAATTTAAACTGTGCTAGTTCTCTTTTGCGATGAAATACAGCACGAAAGATCTTATCGACACAATTTCCTCGAACCAAGTATCTATACAACTGCTTAGTCGACGTCGCCCTAAACACGTCATTACGGATCCTCCCGATCCATTAACGGTGCTTTTAGGTACCAAAAGCACCGGTCACCGTCCTGTCCGAACCCATCGCTTGCGAGGAAGGGCTCGACGAGTGAATAAACCCATAGACACAGCCCACTGAGTTTCTCGCCGAATCTTCTCAGTGGGTCGCGTTTCCAATCCAGTGGTAGATTCTGCAAAGCATTGCTCTTGCTAGGGCCACTGTTAGCAACACTCCCGGTTAGAGCCCCGTGAGCTCACCTTCACGTCAAGGAGAAGCTGAAATAGCCTCTCAAGGCTATCAGCATAAATAGGGAAAAAAAACTGCTCACAAATACTGTAAGTCATTCTATGGTCAATTCCCAAAACTATTATACTCAAGAATTTCTCTTTCGCTCTAAATTTGAAAGTGCACAATAATATTTTGAAATAGTAAAATCGAGAGGTTGTGTGCGCGAGAACGATCTAACGGTGGTAACCAACGCACAGTATGACGTCACAGCACGATTTATATTCGATGAATAAAATCGGGCTATGAAATTGAGAACGGCTTTATCAACGGTGAAAAAATATCGACGAAAGTTGTGAAATATACTTACTTATAACCAAAAAATCTGATCACAATTTTAGTTTGTCACTTGAAAAGCACAAGTAATTGAAATATATATAATGAAATAAATTAATAATATGCGTAAAAGTAATTTTAAAGAGTGGCAGCCCCATGACCATTTTTTCACCCCACGTTATAAAAAATCCACGACCCGTTGCGTCCATGGGCTACTCAAATATATATAACCTTTCAAAATCCAAGATGTGCTTGTTCCTGAATTAATTTTTTTTTTTTTAATTGACACTATTTAAGATCGTAATTTTCTCGGCCCTAAACGTGAAATAAAAATAATAATTGATACTATTTCTGATAAGGATACCTAATCACTTAGACTCAGTCACGATACTGCTTTACCAAATTTTTTTCAATGCCTTATAGGCAGGCGAACATACGGCCTACCTGATGGTGAGTGGTTATCGTCGTTCATGGACGATATTTTCATATAAGAATAGTTTAATTTAGCTTACGTTAAGAGCTTTAAGCGTGCTAATCTAGTAATTTGATTAGATAAATATCTGAAATAAAAACTGCCGAGGTTCATGATGACTGACACCTGGTACTCAATAATTTAAAAGATACTTTGTATTTTTTAAACGCCAGGTGAATGGTTCGAAATTCAGCAAGCAATTTTTTCTTTTCCTTTTTCTTTTGTAAAACCATTGGCCATGAAGGCTGAATTGCTGAATTTTTCGGGCAGGAGGCCTAGAAGGCGCGCTGGGTATGTGCGATTTGACGTTCTGCAGATGTTGGGAGCAGACTGCGGGCCCAAGGATATTTTTAGAGCCCTGCCGCACCAAACGACTCCCCTTGCATTCTCTCACCCGACGTCCGATCTCCACCTGAGATCAGAACCCGTTCGGAGTACGGGGTTTCCCGCCGTGAACACTACAACCAGATTCGTGGCGCCACTCCAATACCGTTGAATCTTCAAAGCAATAGTCGACGACCAATGACGCCGGTCTTTGCGGTACAGCGGCCCGTCATGCTGTCAGGGCGAAGACGCTGGTGTTCCGGGATTACCCCGCTGAGTCAGAACCAGCCTACCGAGTCCGAACGCGAAACAACGCCGCGCCGACTGGGTTGTTCTTCCAAAGTACGTTCGGCGACGACAACGTCAACGACGACGACAACGCGGACCGCACTGCGGAATGCGGATATTCCAAACGAAAACTTTGAAAATATCCTTCAACGCAATGATATACTTAGGTAGATACGCAGCGGAAGGTGGTGTAGTCTCACACTACTCTCCGCCAGCAGTGAGATGGGTCTTTAAGTAGTTTTCCAAACGGAGGATATTGCACTTTGTCTGGTCCAAGTCTACTAGAGCTATTCCCGTAGAATTTGCCGGGGTCAAATAACTTCTAAGGTTCACGAGGACCCATTATCCATACACCTTCAAAAATTCCGCTGTGATTTAATCATCACCCATGCCTTGCTGTTTTAGGGCCATTATAATCTCATAAAAGGCTGCCATCATGCTGGTCATATACAATGTACTTTAGATCCGTTAATTGAGCTGCTGATCTTTATATACATATGTATGTATCAGCTGAAGTCCGAAGAACCAAATAACTCCTTTCTTCAAAGTGTTTGAGAGGAATAACTGTCGTATGTTCACAAATGATTTGATCTGATTTTGAACCATAAACTTAACACCCCGAGACTCACATTCGCCCTCCCGAAAAAATGTAAGTTAAGTATATAAATTGTGTTTAAAAAGTTAAAATGTAAGAGCATGGAGCCGACCTTTTCTCTTCGGACTTCAGATAGACCCAAAATGTCTTGTGGTGACAAATTCAATTATTCCTCGACCTCTGCAAATTTCTCATCGGTCCGCGGCATTCGAGAATTATAATATGTCGTCGTTACCTTGACCGCTACCGTGGCTGGGTATAACAATTTTAAGAGCCATATTAAGGGAAAAGCACTTGATCTTAACGTTTAACAGTTTTAAAATACGTTTAAAATACGGTAAAATACGTTAACGGTATGTTATAAAATATATAAATTAAAAATGTTTTTCATTAAAATAGTCACGAATTTTTAGCCTATTCTAAATGCAGTGCTTGCTCTTTTTCTAATACAAAGTACATCATACATCATAGCACAGAAAAAATACGAAATATCAAAAAACTGTACATATAATATTGATCAAACTTTCTCGTAATTGCGACAATCCTGTATTAAGCTTCTGCGCAACAACAACGATGCGAGAACAATCGTTCATTTTATATTATGAGACATAAACAAACTTACAGAGTAGGTATGATGGACAGACGTCACAACTACGTCGGTGTAACGGAAATCAGGATTCCGATTTAATGTCACACCTCACGCAACGTAGTATTTTGGATTGTAATTTATATCATTTACACTTAAAGAATTCGTGATCTACTTGAGGTATTATTGTCATAACATCGAACAAGATAAATTAAAATTATTATAATCTAAGGTTCATTTCTTAAAGACTTGGAAGATAATGTTTGAAAAAATATCTGAGTACAATCGATTTTTTGTAACCTTGGAACTGTGGTCTGTGAAACCACACAATCCGTATCTTATATTCGTATCACATGGTTCGAACTTTATCTTCGTGTTAACAAATACGCCTTGTTGTCAATTCCCGTAGAACATCTGTTGTTGTATGTTTGTGATAAAATTTTATACTTAGTTATATTTTTACTATTTATAAAATACATTTGTAAAAGGTAAAGAAATAATAAGTTACCTAACCAACCCGGGGGAATGTATAAATTGATGATTTTATAAATTTTTCAGGTCTTAAAACGGAACGACGACGCTTAGTTCGTAAACACATTGAAAAAAATTAATGTTTTTTCCCTTAATCACTTAAAAAATGCTGTTTGAAATCCAAAGGTCACCTACTACATCTACCTAGGCCATGAAGCTCGATTGGGATATAGCTATCTTGAAATGTCAATACTATCTACCTGTCTATTCATAAGAACATGCACTTGATGAATGTTAGTGAAATGCTTACAAAATATTCGGAATTTTGTTCTGCCAAAGTAGGCGAGAGTAGGCATCCTGGAGAGGGCGGAGCCGTGGCAGCTGGTGGTGGTGGTGCCAGGGACAACAGCTCACCCGCAGACGCAGACATGTTGCCAACTGCAGCCAAGCTGCGCAGACGATCTGCCAAATCCGTATGGCCGCCGTTGCACAACTTATTAATGTTACTTTCTTTTTCGTCAGTCGAACACAAGTTGTTAATGATTCGTGGTCTGCGAAGTTTCCTCGATGCCGCCCGCCATCTTCTGAGGCGACATGCTGCATTATTTAATACCTCTTCTGTTTCACGGCACTGCGGAATCTCTTCGTCAGACTGCATGGCGACTTCTGGATCTACAAATTCATCGATGAAGGGCAGATTTTTTTCCATAGCAGAGGGCGAAGGCTCGCCCTCGCTTGCTTCATCGCTTAAGACTGTATTTGATGAACCGAGAAAATCTCGTAATGCAAAAGCTAGCCTCTGGTCGGCATTAAGCCCCGGTGGAGTACTGTCACTGTCCAATGTTTTATCGGACGAAATGTATTTTTCTTGAATAGTGCCGTTAGCTTCGTCTTTAACTTCATTGTTTAAAGCATCATTTTCGTTTGAATTCATGTCAACTTTTTTATCTTGGCTAAATGAAGGCATCTTGAAGAACCAATGGCTGAGNCGTAATGCAAAAGCTAGCCTCTGGTCGGCATTAAGCCCCGGTGGAGTACTGTCACTGTCCAATGTTTTATCGGACGAAATGTATTTTTCTTGAATAGTGCCGTTAGCTTCGTCTTTAACTTCATTGTTTAAAGCATCATTTTCGTTTGAATTCATGTCAACTTTTTTATCTTGGCTAAATGAAGGCATCTTGAAGAACCAATGGCTGAGGAAATTCATTAGCAGATATAAATAGATATTAGGAAAATATTTGGATGTATTGGTTCCTTTCACACATTATTAAAATTGTCACAATCTGAGATTCTGATGCTCACTATAATGAAATAAAATAGAACATTCCGAAGCGCACATATTTTTGCGAGGGTACCTATATATATATTAAGCCGATACTATCGCCCTCAAGTATTAATTCAAACTTTATAGGTATCTAATCAATAGTTTCACTGAGCACCAACACAAACGACGCAGTTTAAAAATCACTTGTACGTTTTAATGAACATTTTCTGCGTTTTCATAACGAATGGTAATTAATTTAAACCTTACAAATCTTACTGGTTGAATATAAAATGCATTGATAGCTAGTCTCGAAATACGCAAGCTATGTACGTAAACCGAACAGAGCACTACTGGCCAGCGCTATCATCTCAAACTATACATATACATTTTCGATTGTAGACCGCTTGTTTGTATTGACGTATGCCAGGCTTGCGCAAAAGGGGTCTTGTTTAACGGTGATGCCCCCTATCGGAGTAATGTAAAGTATGAGTACTGCGAAGCAAGCGCCATCTGTCCATTCAAATAGTAACATAAAATGTACCACATTGATGTTGAAAACGATCGGCGTACGTTCTACAATGTAGTGATTGTAAAACACGTCTGGTGGCACTGTACGAGATATTAAATTAAAGAAGGATTTAACTTCAAATAAAAACAATTTGATATTTACAGTCATGTATATACAATGTAGTTGATTCATTTTATGTCACTTTAAAAATTTTAATTAAAAAAATACCTTAATTTGTAACATTTCTGGTTGTTAGAAAGCTATAATTTTATAGCTGTAAAGGATTTAAAACTTAATATTAACGTTACACACACAGAACCACAGTTCATACATAACATCTAATGATAGGCGGCTAGCATACATTATGTATGAAATAAAAATAGACACAATATACTGCCAGCTACATCTGTCGTGAACCTATATAATTTTTCAAATATCAAGTTTTTGATGCCTACTAAACCTTAAATATTAACTTCCATAAATGTAATAAGCTCGTGTTTGGTTTTTTAGCCAAAAAATCGAGAGCGGACAGTACTTTTTTTTTGGTCCATAAGACCAAACCCCCAATGCTGACCTGGCATCTGTAGAGATACTCCTTGAGAAGTTCTTTTGTGGCCAAAAGAAGTACAAGACTAACGATCCGCCCTCGCTTCGCTACGGGATATGTAATTTATAATCTTATTTTCTTTTATACCAATCTGGACCTAACGGTAACTAACAAAAAAATCTAATCTTTCCTCTTCTTATATCCATGATTCACTATTTTGCCGCCGTTGTACTTTTAAAACTGAGACCCTACAACTCATATCTCAAGATGAATGGCGGCATTTATGTTTTAGATGTCTATGGGCTCCTGTAGCCATTTAATACCAGGTGGGCCGTGAATTTGCACACCCATCATCATTCTCCTGCCCTTTTCCCAGTCACCCGGGGTCGGCGCACATGTTTTCTCCTTCCATACTCCTCTATCATATACCATTTGCTTCGCTCACTCCCCTCCTACACATATCGTCTTTCACGCAATGCATCCACTTTTTTTCTTAGTTCTACCTCTTCCACTAAAGCCTTTCACATTCATAGTTAAAACTCTTACAAACCTCATTTCGTCTCATCATAATTTTTATATTTTAGATTTATATTTACATTTTAGATTTTATTTTCTTTAACATTTTAGCGTTTTAACAGCTATGTAACAATGCTTTGATTTTTTTCTTTTGTTTAATCATAATTTTTTTGTAAAAAGGGAGGAATGATGTAGGGACCACAAATATCCCCATAGCAACTAATAATTATATGTATGTGTTAGCAGTAATTATATTGCAATGATGCTACATCAGTCTCGGGATTTTCGGGCTGTCGATAGCACTTTAGGTTGTAATCCCAATATACGTTACTCACTTAACTGAGCACGTGTCTTATTAATCCTTGCCCGATATAGAGACTCAACAAAATCAAATAAAATCTAAAATAAAAATCCCTAAATGTCCATAAACGCGCACTCTCAATTTCACTGTCACAGGTTTGGTAGGCAGCGGCTTGGCTCTGCCCCTGGCATTGCTGACGTCCATGAGCGACGGTGACCACTTACCATCAGGTGGGCCGTATGCTCGTCTGCCTACAAAGGCAATAAAAAATAAAAAAAATAAAGGTGCCACTTTCAGACTTCATAGATATTCATCTTCAGATATTCATTCCGTATTCTATCCGTTCTCGTTACTCCACACATACATCGCAATATTCGCATCTCTGCTGCCTTTCATCCGCCATTTATACAAGTGTACTTATTTAGTTTCATTTATTACGAGATGAAAACGACCGGTATTCAGTCAACGTCATGAAGTTATGTAAGATGCGGACATTGATCCACAAATATGAAACACCATGTATTTGACGAAACACATATTTATAAATCTTACACACGCATGCATATTATTTATTGTCAAACTTTTGTTCTTGACGTCGGTTGTCAAATTGAGAATAGAATATGGTTTGTCTTTGTTAATATTTTTTATAGTGTAGTCTTGGCGAAATTTGTGATTATAGAAGTAGGTATAAAATACAATCATAATAGTGTACAAACTTACAATTCCAATTAATTATAGTCGAATTTCGACTACTGTGGGACCTCTAGTAATTATAATTTGTCATATATTGTGAAACTTTTGTTATTTTTAAAGTCTGTGGTCAAATAATAGATTAATATTGTTTTCATTGGTAGTAAGTAGTAGGTCTCGCGTTGTAGTAGGTCTCGCGTTGTAGTAGGTCTCGCGTTGTAGTGGGTCTCGCGTAGTAGTGGGTTTCGCGTTGTAGTGAGCCTCGCGTTATAGTAGGTCTCGCGTTGTAGCGGGTCTCGCGTTGTAGTAGGTCTCGCGTTGTATTGGGTCTCCCTTTATTTATATACATAAGGTCTCCTGAGATTAGCGCGTTCAAACAAACAAACTCTTCAGCTTTATAATATTATACCGGTCACTCACATTCGCACGAATACGCAAACCCGCAAGTGTAGGACGACATTTGCAAATGATTATGCAAAGTTTTCGCTGCATTCGTGGTTTTCCAAGCTGTGTCAGTTTTTTAACAGACATCAAAGCGCGCGAACCGCGATCCTTCGCGTAGTCTCCCACACATTCATGTGACCAGTTGCGCCCAGGATTGCGAAGGCAACGGGCGTTTCGCTATTTTCATAGATCCTGACGTCTACTGTGTAGCGTATCTTCATCAAAAGAAATCCCATAAAAACAGCATGGCTGGTAATGATGTCTGGGAAATAATTCAAAACTCTTTTTTTCTTCAATTTTCTATTGACGAATTAAAAAGGAGGAGAACTTCGTGAAACATTCGTAAACAAGTGTAGGAGGAAGCGCAAACGGGTTTGCAAATTGAGTTTTTTTTTTTAAACCTAAGCTGGGAGCCTGGAGCGGCTATTCCAGCGTAACCATAACTAGTAGGTCAGCTCACGGGGCTCAAACCTGACGACGATGCGAACACGAACCCTAGCAAGAGTCGTGCTTCGCAGAATCTACCACCGGATCAGAATCGCGACCCACTGAGAAGATCCGGCGAGAAACTCAGTGGGCTGTGTCTGAGAGTTAATTTACTCGTCGAGCCCTTCGTCGCAAGCGACGGGTTCGACGAGAACGGTGACCGGTGCTTGAAGTACCTAGAAGCACCGTTAGTGGATCGGGAGGATCCGAGATGACGTGTTTTGGGCGACGTCGACTGCTNCGATTGCACCGGACGTCCGTTAGGCCACGACGACTTTAAAAATATAAAATAAAAAATAAATAAAAAATATAAAAATTTCGGCGTTAATTTTTCGCGGCGAAAACAACTAAACTCATTTAATCACTGCACTATTCGCCGCGACTACCGCTCGACTCCGTGGCTCGCGCCGTCCGTATTCATGCATTTGTTTTGCTCGCCCGCCGCACCGCGCGATTCGCTCGGTACATTTCGCCGGTCGCTTCGCCGGTCGCCGGTGCGCGTGGCTTGTTAGGTACATTTCTATGCGCTTGTTTTAGTCGCTAGACGCTTCGCCGTTCGCACCGCGCGAATATTCGCATCGGCGAATGTCCCGTGGCCAGGCTGTTACTCGTCATTACAACTTTCATGGGATTAATAATGTAGTAGGTTCCCGTTGCTTTCTACATCGCGGTACTATAGCCTCAGTGACTATAGTAATCCAAGAGTGAATCGGTTTAGAACATATGGTTCTTTCGTTTCACTTTGGTACTGATGGCTACCGCTGCCCTCCACCAGGTTCCTGGTTTTACGCCCCTGTGGCTTGTCTCTTCCGCTGGTTAGTCCGTACCGACAATTGTTGTTTCCTTCCCCACCGTTGAGGTCTTCACCCGTAACCCTGGGCAAGGGTTCTGCGTTATACCCCACAGTACCGGGTCCCTGCTGAACTTCGCCATCTAAACATTCCGGCCTACTAGAATGTAAGATGCCCACTTCCGCGACATGGACGCGCCAGACAGGAGTTGCCCAAGTGAAGAATAGAGAAGGAGACTCTATTCTTCCAGGGGCCGAGTTAATGGACGTGAGTATCCCCACGACCAAAAGCTCGTCTCATCTATATATTTGCACCCCTTTTTATGAAAATTGCGCGGACGGAGGAGTATGAAATTTCCCACACTTATAGAGTATATAGAGAAGGAGTGCAGAATGCAATATTTTTTTTACGTTATGCATAAAATAT